GAAACATGGAGTCTGCAAGTGAGATACATGTCACAAGAGTTAGCGTAGATACTGACACCATACTTCCCCCATTGAGCGAGACAGTACTTAACGGATATGTCAACAAACCTGATGCACACCTTGTTGGGGTACTGGATCCTGCATCCTTAAAAAACGGTGCACATATTGGTTCTGTACTAGTAAATATGAATGAGCATATACCTGTTCGAATCTTAAACCCAACTCCCCAAGAACTTAAGTTGCCTGCAGGCACGCATTTAGGTAAATTGGTGGAAGCTGAAATGGACATGGTTGAAGAGCACCAGCAGAAAGATGAGTGTGATGCTGTCCCAGTGCATCTGGACAACCTAATGGAGAGAGCTATAAAGGGACGTTCAGAAGGAGAAGCAAATGAAATAAAAGCCTTGTTAATGGATTATCAAGATGTTTTTGCAAAAAGTGCCAGTGATGTGGGATGTTTCTCTAAGATCACTCACAAGATTGTCACAGGTGATGCTCCACCTGTACGGCAACCAGTTCGGCGAACACCTCTGGGGTTTCAAGGTGAGGAAGAACAACATTTGCAGAGCCTTCTCAATACTGGTGTTGTGGTACCTTCGACTTCTGATTGGGCATCACCTGTGGTATTGGTGAGGAAAAAAGATGGTGGGGTAAGGTGGTGCATCGATTATAGGAAGCTCAACGATGTAACAAGGAAAGACTCCTACCCACTTCCAAATATTGAGGAATGCCTGGACACTCTTGCAGGGTCAACAATTTTTTCAACTATCGACCTGCAGCAAGGATATCATCAAATTGAAGTTGACCAAGCTGATAGGAGGAAAACAGCCTTTATTACTCGCTACGGTTTATTCGAGTATACACGCATGCCTTTTGGGCTATGCGGAGCACCTGGGACATTTCAAAGGGCAATGGAGTTTATTTTGAAAGGCCTCCAGTGGAATATGGTGTTGATTTACTTAGACGATGTGATTGTTGCCAGTCGCAGTATGCAGGAGCATATTGAACACCTTAAGGAGGTCCTCCAAAGGTTTAGAGAAAGCAACCTTAAGCTGAAGCCATCTAAATGCAATTTTTTCCAGAAAAGTGTATTGTTCTTAGGACACCGAATCAGTGCAGAAGGAATTGAGGCAAACCCAGAGCTTACCAAGGTTGTACAGGACTGGCCTCAGCCTCATAATGTCAAGGACATACAATCCTTCCTAGGCCTCACTAACTATTACCGTCGGTTCATTGACAAGTATTCAGAAATAGCTGAACCACTGTTCCAGTTAACCAAAAAGGGAGTGAAATTTCATTGGGAAGCTGAACAACAAAAGGCATTTGAAGTTTTAAAAGAGAAACTAGTGTCCCCACCTGTTCTGGCTTATCCGCTAGCCCAGAATACATTTATTTTAGATACCGACGCATCTAACTGTTCAATTGGAGCAGTCCTTTCACAACTACAAGGCGACTCAGAAAAGGTCATCAGTTATGCCAGCAAGCGTCTCGGTCCAACACAATCAAAGTACTGTGTTACACGCAAGGAACTTCTTGCTATTGTCACCTTTACGCAGAAGTTCAGACACTACCTTTTAGGCAGGCAGTTTATTGTGCGGACCGACCATGGCTCCCTTACTTGGTTGTATCGTTTTAAGACACCACAGGGACAACTTGCACGCTGGTTAGAACATCTCAGCCAGTTTAACATCGTTTTTCAGCACAGGAGAGGTCTGAACCACGGCAATGCTGATGCCTTATCCAGATACCCTCTAGAAGGACCACAATGTGACTGCTACACTATTGGATCAAGATTATCTGACTTGCCATGTGGCGGATGCAAACACTGCACAAAAATACATCAGGAGTGGTCTCGATTTCACACAGACGTAGATGACGTCATACCCTTAGCAGTAAGGAGTGATTTTGGCATGGTATTTGCTAAACATCAGACAAGCCATGGAGACCAATGCTGTGATGACTCTGATCCAGGGTCAAATACTAGTTTTTGCTCTGGAGGACACAGTGTCCCCTGGAGAAACTACGATCCTCAATGAGGAAATGTCAAGAAATAGCTCGAGGAAACTTGAAGAGTGCATCGATAGGACAAAAACGATTACACGATTTGCGTGTGTACGAGAGGTCCTACGACATTGGTGATTTAGTATACATACGGGACGACTCAAAGAAAGTAGGCAAGAGTCCTAAACTACAACCGTTATGGAAAGGGCCTGCAGTAGTTGCTAGAAAGTTGGGTGCAGTGCTGTATGAAGTTATCACAAAGAAGGGATCCACAGTACTGCATCATGACCGCCTCAAGCCTTGCCACCAAGAAACACTGCCCAGATGGATATCGAAAGCACGAAGACAGCTCCAGTATTGTGTCAACTTTAAGGAAAAGGACCCTCAAGCAACCTCACCAGAAGATGCTGATGTTCCAGGCGAGACAGAAGACAAGTCAGAGGAAACTGCAGTAGAAGAGAACTGGGTGGTACCTGATATACCCATACAACATGAAGCTGAAAAGGAAACAGTTTCTTCAGGACCGGCTACACCGGAGAACCAGGATAGCGATGCGGAAGACCAACAGAGGACCAACGAGACCACTACTAGATGTGGAAGAAAGATTCAACCTCCGTCAAGATACACGTCCTAAAACAGCTTTAAATATCAGAACAATTAACTAATGTTTATTTTCTTTGCTTTCATTTCATGTATTATTCCTTTTAGAAAAAGGGGAGTAGTGTAGTGAATTTGTATTAATGTCGGGCTTGGCGTCGGGTTCGGAGTGCAAATGTTTTGTATACGTCATAAGTCAGTTCTAATAAAAGTTTCTAAAGTATCGGACGTCTGTTTGATTCCTTGGCAGCTCGGAACTCGTGGTGCACTTAGGACCCACACCAGAAGCACCACAATATTATATAAACATTTTGTGTGAGAATCATATGAAAATAATATTAAGTCATGGGTCTGACACGAATAAAAGTTCCTTGATTTCATATGTAGCAACTGTCCCCAAGTATGAAAAATTCAATAAGAACAACATGCATAATTTTGAATTTTACTGATAACATAACAAATGTTAATTACAGTCCCCACAGGATAACGTCCAAGTGTACCTGTGAAATTATGTGTCCTTTATACCAAACATCCTGGTCACTGTCATTGTGGAAGCGATGTTTAACATTTCTTCCAACAATGTCTAGGCCTATTCCTGTTTGTGGCTGATTAACAGCAGGAAATGTATATCTATATGCTTGCCGAATGACTGTCTTCAGAACTACTAAGGCTTTCCTCCTCACATACTTTTCTTTTGTGCTGTGCGTCTAGAGTATTAATTAGGAAAGGCTGATTCAGTGATTGCAATCATTTCTATAAATCTTAATATTATCATGTTAAACACAATTATATAGCCCCCCCAAACTTCCTCTGATTTTTTTTAAAAATTAATACTGCAATGGGATGCCATACAGTCTGCATGCTCTAATTAACTAATATCATTTTCAAATAGTTGAACTTGTTTGTTTATCATAAGTAACTTCATTGGGTAAGATATTCAAATAAATAATATCTGCAGTGAACTTCATATCTGGTTATCTGCCCCTGAATGAAAAATGATGTCGGCCCAAAAATACCCCTTCTAGTTTCAACGCTTTGCGCTAATTTGCGCTAGCGTGTATCATTATGAAACTTTGACAATACATAGAATAGAGATAAAAAGTGATGCTTAGATGTGTCTGACTTCGTCGGACGCAGTATTTCAAGAGTAATGTGTAAAACAACAGTGATGTAGACTTTTACCCGCTTGTTTTCCCTCCATACTTCAGGTAATATGGGCTAACTTCGAGCTTCAGATGGCTTTGGTTCTTCTTGGTTACATAAAACGTGCAAGCGATCAAGATCGGTCATGTGATCACATCAAAAATTGCTATTTTAGAAATGCTATGTGATTGTCCAAATGGCGGTAAAAACGGAAAACAGAAAACTCCAGATTGCAATATTAGCGAGGTTGCCCTAATTTCTTATTTATTTATACAAGTTTGATTATATAGAAACATTTTCAAAATATTTTTTTTTGACTTAGAGAGAAACTTTTCCACAAAAGACATTTTGATTAACATGCATTTAACGACAAAATGTGACCTATTTTACTATTGAGCAGAATACGAAAGTGCCATAACTCGCGCATGCCTGTGATTGCTATATTAAAAGGCAAGAATATACAAATATATACAGGCATATAGTATCATTTGTATCGACCAGAAAAATTATTTTACACTTAATTGAAAAAAATGTTGACCCTACTCCCCAATACTCCCTGTCTGTTTTATGATAGGAATTATAATTTTAGGCATCAAGTAAATTTTAGAACAATGTCTACACATTCATATAACACATATTAAAGAAATGAAGATATTTTGAAATATATTTTGATCAACATCACAAAATTTATGTAATTGGCCCAAACTGGCGGATGATGAAATAAGCAATTAAATGTTCTACTTTCCTATTTGTAAGCATTATGTGTCCAGTGGTAAGGAGCCTATTAGGATAGCATAAAAAAAGAATACATGTACCAATGTTAATAATTGATTTATCAAAAAAAATTTTATTTCCTTCTCCTTCGGGACTTTATTACATGTTCATAACTAAATCTAAACATAAAAAATGCTGGCCTTATAATGAAGAAAGGGGCCTCTTTCAAAATAGATAATTTCTCAGGGCTACGGGGTCAGGGGTACCAGGGGGGTACTTTCACTAAAAATGAATTAATGTTTTGATATCTGCCCTTTGATAAGCAATGGTGCCTCTTTCAAAATTTGTGAATTTCATGGCTTTTGATTAAAACACGAACCAAATATAATCACTGGAAAGTTGATACATGATACTCAGGTGACCTATAAGGCCCGAGGGCCTCTTGTCGTTACTTATCGTTGGTTTCCAATTCAGGCTCCCTAAGGATCCTCTTCATTGGACTCCCTATATCATACTTCAGTTTTAGTATAACTCACTACGTGACTTCAGGATATTGTAGCATTATAGTCATATAAAATGTCTTGATTTTCCCAGTGTTTATCCAAACGTGGCCTGAAAGAATTAGTAGCCTTCGCACTTATAACATCCTCTGGTAGACTGTTCCAGATCTTAGCAGCTCTCGGGGTGAAGTTATATTTTCTGATATCTAATCTGGCTCTCTGGATTAATAGCTGCTTGGAATTCACACTTGCAGGTTCTCTCCCTACATGATCTCTCCTAAATTTTACAAAGTTGGCTGCTTTTGTGTCATATTTTCCACTCGTATTTTTATATATCTCTATCATATCTCCTCTGTATCTTCTATATCTGAGTGTTGGTAGTTTGAGTTTCTTCAGTCTCTCAGAATAGGTAAGATCTGATATTCCAGTTATCTGCTTTGTTGCCTTTCTTTGCACTCCCTCCACCATCTCAGTATATTTAGTTTTGTATGGGCACCAGACTGAGCTTTCATAGTCCAAGTGTGTTCGAACCAGAGATTTATAGAGCAGAATGAATGTATTTTCATCTAAATGCGCAGTACTGTTAAGGCTACCCGGAGCTTATTACTGTATACAGGGTTATTTTCGCCCCGGCTTATTTTCGCCCTTTCACACTTGAAATCAATTTTGCCCCGTTTTAAATTCGCCAAATCATAGTTTTCTTTAAGAAATGATATTGTATTTTTTGATTTCGCCCCGTTTTAAATTCGCCCAAATGAGGGTAGGGCGAAAATAAAACGGGGGCGAAAATTTCCCTGTATACAGTTTGCATTTAAAACCAACACTCTTTTTCAAAGTTGATTTTTATAGTTTTATTTTTAAGTTATGAACTTCAGTGCGCCAAATTCATACAGATGATCCCCAAGGCTATATTTAAACATATTTGTTACGATGTCACATGACCTTGTTGATCACGTGACGCTCATTTCTTCTTTTTTGAAATGTTTCACATAAATCGCTTCGGCGCAGGCTGTTAACACAATTATTATTTACATTTGTCACATAAATAATCTCGGTGCATCCTTGTGAAACCGAAATGTGCTTGGGAAAAGTTAAACTTGATTTCTTTGGAACAATTTTTTTCAGATTAACTTCAACTTACCGACAAATCTGATGGTATTTTCCACTGAATATCGTCAATTGTTTTAAAACAAAGCCACCTTACATATTTCCCAAGCAAGATTCAGTTATAGGGGAAACCTTTTTACATAATTCCATAATAGATGTTAAATGAATCCTCATAAACAACCTGCGCCAGGCTCTTTTACACACATATTTTGAATTGTGCCTTTGTGCCTTTGTCCACAGGTATAAAAAAAGGTAAATGTCAAACGTATATTTTCGTACGGAGTTGAACACGCTGACTCTTAAATAAGAGTAACAAAGCAAGGTTACCTATATTATTCGGATATATTACAGTTTAAAATGTGATAAAAACACGTATATTTTAAACTAGAATTCTGCAACTTTATATTCAGATTGAAATAAAGATGTAAAGTTTATGACATTCTCCCCATCATTACAGCTCAAGTATGCAGTGACTTGACGTCATTCTCAATTATGACGCCATACATCTGTAGTTCAGAGAAGTTCAGGGTACACTACAATATTCTCTGGGAAGCCTTATCGTACCTGCGTTGATTATGTCAATATCTGGAAAAATAATGACTTTCTAGTATACATGTATTTACGAAATAAACTTGAATCTTTTTCGTCTTTAGAAGATCTTCAATTTTTTCTATAGACGCAATAACGGCCCCACAATTGGTTGGTTTTTATTCTTATTGCTTTCATTTTATTTTTATTTTTTTTAAGGGGGGGGGGGGGTCAGTAAACAAAAATCCATCTGAGAAACATTTTAACAAGCTAAAAAAATTCTTCCCCAGACCAGAACAACTTATTAGGAGGAGTGGAGCTCCTTTCATTTTATTAAACTTCATAAATATGGTTCATCCTACCAACATTCTAGATTCTACTTGTAACTCTTTAAAAGGGGTCTACATTCTACGGTTGACATTTTAAACCTTTCTTTTCATAAATAAAAAAAAATACCCTTTACTGTTTTCATTATAGTAAAGGGGATATTTTCATTTATTTATACTAAAAACGTCAAACTCCTGTGACTTACAATACCTAATACAACCCAACAACCAAATGTATATATGCAGGATAGTCAGAACTAAAGAGAAGTGGTCGAATAAATCCCTTTACGACAATCTTTTATAGAGAGATGAATAAAAAAAAAATCTTTGAACCGTAATTAAGATTAATTAAATTCTTTAAAATCAACAAGGTCGCTACATTTTAGATATGACTTTCCTGTAAATTACACAGTTGAAATCAATCTCGTTTAATAGATAATAGGGAGTTTAAGCTCAGATACTCCATGTATGGCTTTATCAACAGTACATGTAATCATAGCCTATATCCTACCTATATTTCGGTGATTGATATCATGTTCCGTTTTTATAAAGATTTATAATCAAAGATTGTGTCTAAACAAAACAATTTTCAAAATGCAAAAGGAAAGGAAGACAATCTTTTAAACAAACAGGGTGTTACGCTTCGAAGGAGGACTTCTACGTGAACACAACATAAGCAATAAAATTAATACAAGACGCAAATCAGAGAATTATTGTTTGACAAACCTATGTATTACATAATTATACACTAACACCGGTCAAAATGACTTTTCTGTCCTAGTTTTGAGGGTTTTTTTTCAAACTTTTTTCTTTTTACCGGCACAGGTGTTGTATAGTAGCCTTTCCCCCTAGCCATCTTTCCCCCCGGAAACATGGCTATATAGTAGTTTTTTCCCCCGGGAAAATGGCTATATAGTAGATTTTCCCCCATGGAAAGATGGCTATATAGTGGGATTTCCCCTCTTTTATAGCCAGATTACCCCAGGGAAAACCTACTATATAGTAGATTTTCCCCCCTTTTTTCATTCCGGTTAAGTTTATGGAGGACCATTCTTTGTAATAATTCGCAATACATGTGTATTTGAAAAGACATTGATCATCACCGACTTGTAATTAAGTAGACTGACATTTCTTTTTGTAATGAAATCAATCCATTACGATAAGGAAATTGTTTTCACGAGTGGGACAGAACTTTTGTATTATATTTGACTTGTGAAACAATATAAAAAAAATCTTGTACCACTAGACGTGAAATAAATTCAATATCCAACCACCAACATTGAATATCCTCTACGAAAAAATATGTAACGTTCCAAATAAGATTCCTCTTGCGTAGGATTGTTTCTTTTATATTTATAAAATTCAACGGAAGACTATTTTACAGTTTTTTTTTATTGAATTTAAGGTAGAACCTATGTCGGAGAAGTTTTTGTCACAAGATTTTCAAACTTTTCATAATGATAAATTAGCACTTGCTTATCAATCAGATAAAAGCACATGACATGTTTCCTTGTTATTAAATGTGGTGCAGCCAGTTAAACATGGAATGATTATTACATACTTCGACTTGTCGCCCGCGTGGCGCAGTGGTAAGAGCGTCTGCTCTAGAGTCGCGAAGTAAGGAGTCAATCCTTACGTCGCGGGTTCGAATCCCACTGCGGGACGTGGAGACCGGTCCTTCGGATGAGACCGTATAAACCGAGGCCCCGTGTCGCAGTAGGTGTTGGCACGAAAAAGATCCCTCACTGCTCAAAGGCCCTGAGTACCGAGCATAGGACAAAATTTGTAGCCCTCCACCGGCAAGTGGTGGCGTCTCCATATGAGTGAAAAATTCTCGAGAGGGACGTTAAACAATATACAAGCAATCAATCATACTTCGACTTTATAATTTCAGTCATTTAAGGGGTACTTGTCATTCAAAGAAGACAACAAAATCCCAGAATTGCTTCTTTAAACATCGTTGTTTTTATTCTTTATTAACTAAACAGTATTAAACAATATTTCCCGAGAATAAAATTCTTTTTTATTCAATTGACATAAAAGATAAGTCTACATTTTCAACACTATAGGCAAATGAACTCTATTTATTTTCAGTCAATTTTCCGACCTACATTTGTAAATATATATCAGAAGTCTTTGTCACAGTGTTTTCAATCTTTAATATAATAAAGAACATACCCAAATGATTACAAAAAGTGATTCAAATATAAACCTTTTCCCTCTAACGAATGAGAGATAGGTTATTTACCGATACTAATATTCTTGACCTTTTTTGCACTCACACGCATTTTGCTATTAAATGACTGTTCGGGGCTAATTTCAGCTTCAAAATGTTTACAAAAAATTGTTCTTTAATTTAAAAGCTCATATTTAATAGAGAAATTGCAATAAAACCCCATGAATATGAATAAGTAACAAATAATTATGAAATGGAATGCACATCATTTCATGATAGATATAACAAATGTGTACACAATCTACAACACGTACATCTTTGACTTAGACACATTTCATCAAGATATTACACTATTTAACGGTAGTTGGCAACTGACGATTTTTAAAAAAAGATTTTTGCATTCCTTCAAAATAATTACATACCATTTATATTATTACAGTTTGTTGTATAAATGACAATTCCATCGCACAATATAGACTTGGATTTGTCAACTTAATAATTAAGGTCAAGATCTATTAAACGAAAGGTGCCTACAGGTTTCTCTAATTCAAGAGATATATTGTCATAAAGCATTATATCAAAAATATGTATATAAATCGAATATTAAGATTATTTTGGCATGATTTTAAATTGAATTCTGTTAATTTTAAAATGCAGTTTTTTCTACCATTTGTATACTGAAGCTGAAAAATACGGGAAATGACATTGAATTAATTATGACGTCATAATACATCTAGCACAGGCTAAACACATTCACTAGTTATGATGTCATACGACGTAGGTTCTACGTTAATATGGCGTCTTACAATATAAAAGTTCGGTAAGACACGCTTTTAACAAAGTGACAGGGATGAAGGATTTTGCTTTTGTTTATTGAAGAACGTGGTGAAAGGCTGAAACATACAAAAATGAATTCATACTTAAATTGTAATCAAATAACAGACAATCATACGTGCAACAATCATACTGACTAGATTACCAATAAATTGCCATTAATCTGATTTACATACATTCAAAATTACAGGAATATATTTAGACTAAAGTTCACTCAAATTCATAGAAATAATATCTCATTATATCTCGCAATATCTCACAATATCTCATTGAGCAAACTATGCAAATATATCAATGCTAAACAATTCCCCACTGTCTTCAAGAGTATATAATGTGTTATAGAGGAAGCTTGAAACTTATGTGTGCACTTCCCTCCACAATCTTTTTATCCTCTGGTTGTGCACACATCTCCTTGTGCACAAATTTTTCCGAGATTAATAAACATTTCCAGAAAGTAGAACCACGTACTTTGGTAGTTCAGGGAGCAGTAAGGGCTA